CCATCGTTGACTTCCTCCCCTCCCCATCACTTACCTCCTCCTCCTCCTCCGATCTTTCTCTTCCACCTCCTCCTCCCGATCTCCCTCTTCCTCCCGTCCCTATAACTGACCTCATTCCCTCCCCATCGCTGACTTCCTCCCCTCCCCATCACTGACCTCCTCCTCCTATGATCCGATCTTTCTCTTCCACCTCCTCCCAATCTCCCTCTTCCTCCCCTCCCCATAGCTAACCTCATTCCCTCCCCATCGCTGACTTTCTCCCCTCCCCATCACCGACCTACTCCTCCTCCTCCGATCTTTCTCTTCCACCTCCTCCTCTCGATCTCCCTCTTCCCCCCCTCCCCATAGCTGACCTCATTCCCTCCCCATCGCTGACTTCCTCCCCTCCCCATTATCGACCTCCTCCTCCTCCTCCTCCGATGATCCGATCTTTCTCTTCCACCTCCTCCTCCCGATCTCCCTCTTCCTCCCCTTCCCATCGCTGACTTCCTCCTCCTTCCCATCGTTGATTTCTTGACTTCCTCCCCTTCCCCCGCCACGTCAACTTTTTTTTTTTTTTTTTTTCCTTTCTTCTGCTTGGTAAGGACGAGGACGAGGACGAGGAGGATCACAACGATGGGTAGGACGAGGAGGAAGAGGGCGAGGAGGAGGACGACTCGGAGGAAAAAGATCGCGACGGGAGGAGGAGGAGGAGGAGGAGGAGGAGGAGGACGAGGAGGAGGAGGTGGAGAAGGGGGAGAATATCGGCTATGGGAGGAGAAGGAGGAGGAGGAGGCAGAAGACGACGATGGGGAGGAGGAGGAGGAGGAGAAGGAGGAGAACGATCGGCTATGGGATGAGAAGGAGGAGGAGGAAGAGGGCGAGGAGGAGGAGGAGGAAAAATATCGCGACGGGAGGAGGAGGAGGAGGAGGAAAAAGATCGCGATGGGAGGAGGAGGAGGAGGAGGAGGAGAAGGGGGAGAAAGATCGGCTATGGGAGGAGGAGAAGAGGTTAACCGACCCCCCATTTTTCACCTCAATTTATAAGAAAACCATAAGGCCATTTTAAGCAAACTTCATACCGATGTATAGAGTGCACTTCTTACTAACATCTTATAAAAACAAAACAAAAAAACAAAAATTAAGAACATATAAAACAGCAAGGCAAAAGTATATTTTCATGAAATTTTGGCAAAAAAACTGTCATCAAATTTTCACAATTTTCACCACTCTTCACAACACAAATTCTAATGCTTCAAATGACATCAAATTTGACACACAGAAAGCTTGTCCAAATATAAAAACAGGCAAAAAAAAAAAAGTGGGGGTCCCTGTTAACCACTTATGGGGAGGAGAAGGAGGAGAGGAGGAAGGAAGAGGAGGAGGAGGAGGCAAAAGATGGCGATGGGGAGGAGGAGGAGGATAGCGATGGGGAGGAGGAGGAAAATGCCAATGG